GGACCACATAACACTGGTCCTGAGAGATCTGCATTGGCTCCCAGTACGTTTCCAAGCACAATTCAAAGTGTTGGTGCTGACCTTTAAAGCCCTAAACGGCCTCGGTCCTGTATACCTGAAGGAGCGTTTCCACCCCCATCGTTCAGCCCGGACACTGAGATCCAGCACCGAGGGCCTTCTGGCAGTTCCCTCATTGCGAGAAGTGAGGTTACAGGGAACCAGACAGAGGGCCTTTTCGGTAGTGGCGCCCGCCCTGTGGAACGCCCTCCCTTTAGATGTGAAGGAAATAAGCATCTATCCTATCTTTAAAAGACATCTGAAGGCAGCTCTTTTAAGGGAAGTTTTTAATATTTAATGCTGTACTGTTTTTAACATTTGATTGGGAGCCACCCAGAGTGGCTGGGGAAACTCAGCCAGATGGGCGGGGTATAAATAATAAGTTGTTGTTGTTGTTGTTGTTTTACCATATTGCATGGACCAGGCCATTGGGAACCAACATAGTAGGTGTGGTGTCTAATGATTCACATATAGATATCAGTATATGTATAAACTAGCTGAACTCTTTTTATTGGCAGAACCTGGGAATAATGGACACATAATCTCTGTAGATCTTCCATAAAGAGATTCCAATATTCTTTCTTGCAGAGATGGACATAGCCATGGAATGGTGTACTCCCTCAGGTTTGACAGCCGAGGGATGGTTCTCACAAATATGGTTGATAGCCCTATCCCAGAAAATGTCAAATTCTGTTGGCCAAAAGGAAAACCAATTCTCACAATTTTTATAACATATGGCAACATTCATGGAATATATGCTGTGAGGGGACAGTATGCATAACCACTGAAATCCCACAGGACAATGATTTGAGCCTCACAAATAGTGTAGCTGATACGTTGTATGTTGTACAGCTTTTGGACATCAGTCCTACAAGAAATCTGCAAAATAACAAAACAGGTATCAGAATCAACTCCAGAACTAGTCCCAGTAAATATCTACCAAGGCAACAATGCACACTCACATTACAAAGAACTCATAAGCCACTTATTCTTAGCAGCTAGGAGTGTCTTAACTAGATATTGGAAGCACCTGTCAGGAGTCGACATGGACCACTGGTACCAAACCATATGGGAAACAGCTCTACTAGAAAAGCTAACCAAAAAATTGAAATTAGCATGGGGACAAACAGAAGAGGATGCCTTCACCCTGGTGTGGCTCCCCTTTATTACATACTGTATACAGCCCAAACAAGACAATGACCTAACCCTACTGACAGCATACGAATAAATATGGCTAATTTGACCCAATAATCCCCACCCCCTCACAAACAAGACTCACTGCAATCAACTGGATGCAACCAACCATGCTGTGGGCCCTCCAGCCAATTGCACTGTCAACATACATACATACATGCATACATACATAAACTATTCATGTGACGCTGCCTCATAATGCCTATGACAGCAGTGTCTCACATTGAATGTAAATGACCTGTGGAAAGGACTCTATGAATTGAAAACAGAGGTGTTATAAGTATTCATGGAAAACTTTCAACAAAACAAATTTAAAAATAAAAATAGAATAAAACTTGAAAATTAACTAATCTGTGTAAAACTAATGTGTGTAAAGCCATAAAACAGTTACACAATCCTATCAGGTAAAGTTGTGTGCAGGCAAACTAATGGTGTGACCAGGAAATAAGTGCCTACTTAAACAAATGTTTTAAGTTTGAAGCTAAAAGACAGTGCAACAGAAAAAGCTCCACTTTTATGTTTTAATTGCACTTACCCAACAGGCTCTTTCAGAAAAAGAAAACAAAACATCCAAGGCAAAGCCTTGGGTGATAAGAATGATTGGAAAGCTACAAGTTGGTTTCCCCAGTTGCCCAAAGCAACCTTCCAGACTAAAGGGGAATGAATGTAAACAGGGGAATGCCACTTTTTCTGCAATCCTCACGCAATCTCCCTAGCTTAAAGCTCTATTAAAAAACAGCAAAAGAGGGTCAGGTTAAACCAGTCACTCTTGCAGAGCTATGAATTATCTCCTGTGAAAGTGCAAACCCACAAACTGTTTATTTAGAGAGCCCCGCCCTTTTTAAACAGTTGTCAAAATAAAAATAAAAACCCCCACAAAGTAATCTTTAGGAATAGATGAGGTTACAGACTCTGCTTAGGTGGAGGACCAAGAAGTACCTATCTGTGCATTAAGGACAAAGTGAGGTGTTAGTTTCTGAAAAGTGCCTCCAGGCACTGATCCTTTGGGCTGTTTTGAGAAATATCTGCTATCTAAATCTCCCTGTCCAGACTAGGTGTCAGAAATATGATGGATCAGTGAAGGGTTGGGAAACCTCAGGCCCAGGGGTCAAATGTAGCTGTTACGCGTGCTGTTATGTGGCCCTCATAACTCTCACCTGGGCATGTCCCTCACTGACTTGGCTTGGCATTCTAAGTGTTCTTACTGGGTTGGATGTGTCCTGGTTTGATCTCCCAATAACTTCTGCTTGTCTGGATGGAGGACTGAGAGGTGTGTGAATGTATGCAGAAAGCTCACTGTACACAGGTAAAACTTGCATTTGCTGCCCCGCCCACTTTTGCCCTGCCTTGCCCATCACCGGCAATGTGGCTCCCCAGAAGAGTGTCCAGGTTAATTCTGTGTCCAGGGTGGCTGTCTACCAGCTCCATCTGGTACACAGGCTGAGACCCTACCAGCCCATGGACTGTCTTGCCAGTGGTGCATGCTTTAGTTATCTCCCGCTTGGACTGCTGCAATGCGCTCTACATGGGGCTACCTTTGAAGGTGACGCGGAAACTACAACTAATCTAGAATGCAGCAGCTAGACTGATGACTGGGAGTGACCACTGAGACCATGTAACACCGGTCTTGAAAGACCTACATTGGTTCCCAGTATGTTTTTGAGCACAATTCAAAGTGTTGGTGCTGACCTTTAAAGCCCTAAACGGCCTCGGCCCTGTACACCTAAAAGGAGCATCCCCACCCCATCATTCAGCCTGGACACTGAGGTCCAGTGCCAAGGGCCTTCCGGTGGTTCCCTCACTGTAGGAAGCGAGGTTACAGGGAACCAGGCAGAGGGTCTTCTCGTTAGTGGCACCCTCCCTGTGGAACGCCCTATCGTCAGATGTCAAGGAAATAAACCACCACCTGACTTTTAGAAGACATCTGAAGGCCATACTGTTTACGGAAGTTTTTAATGCTTGATGTTGTATCGTGTTTTTAATGTTCTGTTGGGAGCTGCTCAGAGTGGCCAGGGAAACACAGCCAGATGAGTGGGGTAATATAACAACAACAACAACAACAACAACAACAACAACCAAACATGGTCCTTTGATTGAAAACAGCTGCCCATCCCTGAATTAGTGGGATGCTGTTAAGCCTGGATAGAGAACCAGGAACGCCAAGGCTTCGCAACAGATATCTGTAACTGTCCTGCCCCACCAGTTTCTCTTTCCCAGCACACTAGAGGGACAGCGCTAGTGTGCAGCTGGAATCTGGTCTCAAGACTCTTCAGAAGTATGAAACAGTAGTTTTGAGTATAAAAAGGCACCAATGCAGGCACTTCCTTTTAAACAGCCAATATATTTTGGGTGGGGAGGTAGGAAAACAGACAAAGGGTGGGTTTATGGTACCAGAGAAGAATTTTGTGATGGGTACAGATTTTCGTGATCCATAAAAGTCAGTTGTTCACACATACCAAAAATTTACCAGCTAGGTCGTTAGCCCTTACAGCTGCATGTCAAGCCTTCAAAGTATAAGGGTTGTTTTTGGTGAACCTCAATAGTTTGGGAGGTGGGGAGAGCCAAATAAAAGCATCCAGTGAGTACTTAAGCCCTATGCATAACTACATATAGAAGATTTGTGGATAAAGAGGTTAGAGCAGCTGCCCAGTCTTTCCTTAAACAACATCACAATGACATGACTGTGGTGAAATTAACTTTATTTAGTGTGATACACAGCTGTAGTCTGACAGTCAGTATTCATATTTTTAGAGTCACTTGCTTGGCTAACAGCTAGAAGACAGCAGAGCCAGAGACAGACACTCAAATATTATGCACATCCACAGAGAAGGCAGTCAGAAAATGAACTATGCTGTTCACCTTGTGTGTCCCCCCCCCCCGCCTGCCCAACCAACCCCATCCCTCCCCACAAAACATTTAAGTATTTTGTTTTAAAATCCCCATTCTCTGGAAAATACACAGGTTTCTAGTGTGTCTTGAGAGAACACAACAACAGCAGTGACAGGACTGGGCTGCCAGTGAGAAAGGGAGAGTGGCACCAGTTTAACTGCAGAGAGAGAAACAAGTCACACTGACAGGACATCAGCAATTTCCACGCAACAGGGAATATATATACACAGGATGAGTAGAGGCCTCTACAGTGCCATTTGCTTTCAGAACTGATGGGGCCAAAGTTGCAGGCTTATCTATTCTGCTGGAGGGGGGTTGGAATCTGTGCAAGAGGTTCCTGCGTTCAGCTAAAAGGGTGTAAGAGAATGATGAGGAAACCCAAAGCATCATAGAAGTAGCAGATTCTGAGGTTTGCTTTCAGTGGCCAGTCACAGATAAGATTGAGATGAGGACTGTTAAGTTTCACAAAAAAGCCTGACAGATAAATGAAATGCACTTAGCCATTCCAAGCTTTCAAGATGCAGTAAGTGCTGATTTTCTTCCACGAATAAATCAAGACTTTAGCAAGCTGAGTCCTTAGCTTCAAGGCCAAAGGGCGATGTCATATGTTTATCAAGCTCTAAATTTCATATGCAAGATGGGGCAAGGAGCCATGTGTCCATTATGATGCATACAGAGGCCCAATACCCACAATACTTCTATGTCGAAAAGGAGATGGTAGATTGCAGAAACTGGGCAATATACATTTGACTGATGCAGACAGTGACCCAGTTCGCATATAACAGGAAGCCAACCTCTGCTGTAGTCAAATGAGCAAATGTGTGGATTCATGGCCACTTTGCTCCTTCTCTAATCTTGCTGCTGGGATAGCTCAGTTAATACAGCATGAGACTCTTAATCTCAGGGTTCAAGATCATGGGTTCAAGCCCCACTTTGGGCAAAATATTCATGTATTGCAGGAGGTTAAGCTAGATGACCCCCATGGTCCCTTCCAACCCTACAATTCTATGAAGCCATGGTTTGGCTTTGTGTTATATCCAAGCCCAGGCCACTGGTTTATTTTGTCCAGACAATGGTTTACCCACCTGTAGATCGTCTGTGAGAGATAAACCACAAGCCTAGTTTCAGATGTTAACATTAAGCCAAATTACGGCTTAGCTCAAAGCAGCGCAGTGGGCAGCAGGGCTAGAGGAGCAACCTAGTGGCTGGGATCTTCTGCCTGGGAACCTGCACTTTTTATTAGGTGTATAATGCAACCTGGGCTGTTAAGCTGCACATGCGAACTTGCATTCCACCATGTACATCAGGCTGCCAAGCATGAGAACCAGACTTAAGTACTATGAATACTCAGAAAAGGTAACTACCATCATCATGGCAGCACAGCACAGTGAAAATAAACTACAGGAGATAAACTTGTGTATACTTGTGGAAAACCTGGGTTTTATTTTGTTACGTAAGGGCATGTGGGTGTCCCTGCCCAAGGAGTCATGTTTAGGAGAAATTATTAAACACATACAACCCCCTGCCCCACCCTAGTGATAGTAGAAATTAATGGTATTCTCCCTTTTGTGGGGCGCAATTTATGTAGAACTTGACAGGTACTTTTGCTGTTGCAATAAAACACTTTAATAAAAACCTTAAAAATTCAACAGATAAAGCTTTTCCATTATGCAGCATTATCTGAAGGGATAATGCTGTACCGGTTGAATTTCACTCAGCTTACAAGGACAGGAGCCTCTGCTGAAAACAGGGCTGGCAACTCAATTAAGCTAGGAATGTGGAGGGAGGGAGCAAAGCAAAATAGGGATGGAATATATGCTGCTCTTGCTCTTTACCATCCCTCACTCATTTCTAAGAATATAAACTTGGTTTATGGAAGTGTTCACAGGTTATGTTCAGAAGCAACTCCAGCAAAGAGGACCCATATCACTTGCGTACACAAGCCTGGCAGGAAAAACTATTGGAGTAAGCATATGACTAGGGCGAGCATGGGTAGTGAGGGTAGTGAGCATGGCACCCTCCAGATTTTGTTCAACTCCCATCAGCCAATGACCAGGAACAATGGCGTTGCAATCCCCATATCTGGAGGGTACCATGATCTGGGGATTATTATTTGGACAAAACCTCAGACCAAAACAAAATGGTCCAAAGTACCATCAGAAACAATTACCCAATTAAAGTCATTTACTGCGACCAGTCTCCCAGGTCTGCATGTTAGGGTGGCTTGCACCCAACAAAGGGGGTGGCATTTGTGATAAATCATAAGTTCAAAGGTCTATAGTTCAAAAGTTTTTATCCCCTGAAAAAGTATGATACACAGGTGCCTCCTGTGCAGAGCAAGCCAAGCATAAAATTTTTTAAAAGGCTATTGCACTGTGAATTAAGTAAAAATGGAACAGCCCTAATATGTGTGGAGTTTGAAAACTGGTCAATAGCAAGATTTATTTGGGGGGGGGGGACAGAATTAGACCAAAACTGGACCAATTCAAGGAGAAGTGCTATGCCACTTACATTTAGGCTTTAAATGCTACTCTGGCCCAGTGAAATAAAATAAAATAAATTCAGATAAGGGTCTTTCTCATAGCTAGGCACTGTCTCACCTGATGGGAGAGTGTACTGCCCATAGTCATCTGTAAAAAATGGCAATAGAGCCATGAAGCATAAAAGGTAACTGTAAAGTACTTTGCATATTTAAAATGACACATACATTTACAGAAATAGCAGCATTGGACCAAGTCTAGTCTGCAAATCCCTGTTTTAATCTAGCTAGCAACTGCAGAGTTTACAGCTAACCTAGAAACAGATCTTGTTTAGTCCTTGAGAATAAATCCCCAGTCCATCACTTTGCTGCACCCAGACTTCCCACATAAGGCTCTGCATATTCAGTCTGGTTCTGCCAATCCTCCCTATCCATATTTAACTGAGCACCACATGCTTGAGAAAAAAAAAGGGTAAGCCAATCTGCAATTAAAAATACCTAGCCACTATGTAAAGATAAATGACAACTTGGAAGTAGAAATATCTAATGCCATATTCTGAGCTACCTTCTCCCCTCCCCTTTACTACCTCTCAGGGAATGGAGGAACAAAGATCAAATGGGGAATTAAGTGGGTAGCTATGGCTAACCTACAGGAAGTCAGCAGTGGAGTACACCCGTTGCTTCCCCCATCCTCATATATATGCTGCAACAGCAGGCAAACTGAAGGAGCAACCTCTGGAAAGGGGATGGATAAAAAGCAACAGGAAGTAAGTAAGGGATGACCCAGCCCCACTAGGTCCTTTGCTGTAGATTTATCCATGCTTTCCTAAATTGAGAAAAGCTCTGCCCCTTTGCATTCATAGGACGACACAGAAAGGTGAACACGCCCGAGACAGGAAACCTAGAAAATGAGTGCCAGGGCACCCAAAGTGCAACAACCAACATGGGACAGGACACACTTGAGGGTTCACACCATGCAGTAGGAGGGAGCAGCCGGGGCCGTCCACAGGGCAGGGGGATTGATAGTTTATTAGACTGAGGTTTCAGCCCTCGAAAAGTTGAAGTTTCTCTAGTCAATGAAAAGTGATGTTCTTCGGCGAGATGGGGCTGGGCAGTTGGGAAGAGGTTGCAACGCAACAGATCCTTTAGCAGGAGCAGCCGCTCTCTGTTACTGGCTGCTCAGGAGGTTTCTCTAGTTTGATGTCAATCACTGGAGGTGGCAGGTTAAGGGGAAAAAAGAACACCCAATATGTAAAGCAAGGTGTGGTAAAGAACACAGAGAAAAGTGCAACAATGCGACACTTGAGTCTAGCAAAGCAGATCCAGGAAGTTAAGGGAATCTGCCCTTGCCTTTCCTTCCCACCCCTTGTATTCCAGAAGCATTCGCTTCTCCTCGCTGCCAATAAAGCAGGGACAGGGGGACTTGTTTCTGACCAAGGGTTGCATCACCTCAGTGGAAAAGGGTTGGGGACACATTCCAGAAGTGCCTGGGGCCACACACACCTCTGCCACCACTTCCAGGCACCTTCTGAGGGCCATATGCTAGTGGCTGGCAATTCAGAGGGGAAAATGGGTGGACCAACAAACATTGCTTTACCTTTGTACAGTCACTAGTTTCCATACATCCTCACATCCCCTCCCTCCATTCTCTAGCAAGACAAGCAAGAGGGCAGCATTAGATTTCAAGCTGGGGGTGGAGAAACTTGGTGGGCAAAGTGGAGCAATGATGGGTGTGGTCTAGGGGTCAGAGAGGGGCCCTAGAGAGCCACTTTTGGCCCCTGGGGCTGAGGTTCTCCACTCCTGCACCACTGGCACACAATAAAATAAGCTCCTGTCAATGCTTTGCAAAGAGCGGCCCTAAAAAGAAACTGTCTTAGGCTTCCCCAAGCTTGTACTGAAAGACTGCAGTATGGGACGAAGCTACTGAGAAGCTGAGCAAGGATACTGTCATCTTTGCTTTTCTCTGGAGTGCTGTCCATCCCAGGCAAGGCAGCAGCCACACGGCGGAAGAGCTGGAAGACAACACAAAGAGAAGGTGCAAGAAAATGTGGTAACTAAAAAATGCATTAGGGGGAGCACTGGGACAAGCTTAAGGGATAGAGAAATGTGACTACTGCAATAATTAGTATGAAAAGCAGTGAAGTCAGAATGGAAGCAGCACACTGGCCTTTAAAAAATATTTTGATCATGGAAGCTATGGAATCAAAGGGAAGGAGAAGTTAATCCATTCCAATACATCACCACCAAGCACTCAGAATTGGTGGGGAGAGATCTAAATTCCCTCAAGCAAGAGAAATCCCAAAATCCCAATATGAATTTTGGTGCTAAAAATGGCAGCACTGCTTCCCGGGAACAGCACCAAGTTACCTGTTTCACATTATAGCCAGTCTTTGCGCTGGTCTCAATGAACATCACACTCAGTTCTTTGGCTCTCTGTTCGCCTTCTTCTGTAGTAATTTGCCTGGAAATAATAATGCAGACAAGAGAGAAAGAAAGGTAAGGCATTTGAGGGGAGATTCAGTTGTCAAGGATCCCTCCCTGTCTTATCAACACTACAAGAGGACTCCTGAATCTCTGAACTGCCACCTTCATCAACTCAAGCTTCTGAGTGACCATGAAAAGTTAGAAACTGGGTGCCCACAAATCACAACAAGCAAAAGCAGGAAAACAAGCAATGCTAGAATCAGAGAGCTTTAATGCCTGTTGCATTTATAGAACCTTAGAGGAAAAAAGTAATAGAAACCTTTTTGGAGGCATTTCTACATCTCACCAAACCAAGTAAAGCCCCATAGCTATGCATGGTGGGCTGGCTAAACCCATTTTTGCTCTACCTGCATGTGATTACAAAACACAAAATGTAAGTCAAAACAGGAAAGCCACAAAACATGGTTAGTTGGCTTAGTTTGGTTAGGTGGGTCACATGTCACATAGAAAGCTATGCCACTGCTGCGTGGGAATTAATAATCTCTAACACCCTGTACATACCTGGTTTTATATAAAATCCTGCTTTATCCCTGGTTTCAATATACATCCTACTCAGTTCTTAGGCCTCTTGCACGCCCTCTTCTACAGAAATGAAAAAAATGTCACAGGAAAGGGGGAGAAAAATCCAAAAGGAAGCAAAAACTAAAAAGGGAATTGGTAGCAATAAACAAACAAACAAAAACAAATGAAGCTTCAAAAGATTGGCCAGCAACAGAAAAGCCAGCAAGGAAGAAGCACACAGCCCCCACAAAATAAAACAATAAGGACAGGTTGCATGTCTGCATAGGTTGCATGGAGAGGTCTTCATTTTCACCTAAGACTTTCTTTGATTATTATAGTCTCTTAGGCTCATTTCACACAATCCAAAACAGAGCGGAATTGGTGTTTTGATGCCCGTGGGGGATCCAAAACTAGCCTTATACTTCTCTCCCTTTAAAGCTACAATTTCAATGTCTTGTGTAACATAAACCATGATT